AGACATTCACACTGGCGGCTGGCTGAAGGTCATTTAGTAGGGCTCTGGCAGTGCTCATCCTGTTCCTCCTTGCACAAAGGAGCAGATACCAGTCCTGCTGGAGGGTTAAGGACCTTCTACAGTCCTGTCCAGCTCTCCTAGAGTAACTGCCAGTCTCCTGGAATCTCCTCCATGCTCTTGAAACTGTGCTGGGAGGCACAGCAAACTTTCTGTCAATGGCATGTATTGATGAGGAGTTGGACTGCCTGTGTAACCTCTTTAGGGTCCAGGTATCGCTTCATTCTACCAGTAGTGACACTGACCCTAGACAAATGCAAAACTAGTGAAAAAGTTAGAGAAGATGAGCAGGGAAAAAATGTCAGTGTCCTCCACTTGTAAAACTATTCCTGTTTGGGGGGGTTGTCTCATTGCTGCCCATCTAGTACAGCTGTTGTTAAAGCAAAGCAGCTGAAACAAATTAACAACCCCCTCTGCTACTTAACTGACCAGATCAATATCCCAGTTTAATTGACAATGCTATACACTGATTAAAAAGAGTTCCTTTAATTTTTTTTTTTTGAGCAGTGTATTAGGCTTAAAGCATATAACCTCACCGTGTCCAACCAGCAGTCTCCATCTGCTTGTACACAAATGCCCAATTCAAAAAGCGTCAGCAACAGATGTACACAGAGAAATCATCTTTATTGTATTAAGGCGTAAAAATATTCCATGGCACAGTAACGTTGACGTGTTTCAGTCTCTAGCTATGAATAAGGTCTGGTTTTTGGGGGGGTTTTTTTTTTAGACTGCAAACACATTAGGGTTACTGTGCCATGGAATATTTTTACTCCTTAATACAATAAATATTAATAATAATATTTCTCTGTATTTACCTGTTGCTGACACTTTTTGAATTGAAAATTTTAGTTCCGATCCAGGAGGACAAGAATTTTCCAGCTGCTTGGGATTAGCAAAAAGTTAGGATTTCAGCACGTTTTTTTTTGTTATTACAGTTTATATAGCTGCCCTTGGTGAAGATTAGGGATCAGTAACTCATTTTTGGCTTCCTTTTCAGATCAGAAGTAGTACAAAACAGGGGCATCCTCCCTCCCCCTTGAATTTTTTTGCGATTACTGAAAGTTTTTTTATTTTAAATGGAAAAAATAAACATAACCCAGACATAGCTGATGTCTCTATTAGCTCAGTTATAAAGAACAGAATATCCACAAAAGCTGCAAATTTTATGCTTGACTAAGCTTTGGACTCACACTCCCATATATTATGCTGGAGTTGAAAAGATTTCATGATCTTTTCAATTACAAGATTAAACTTTTCTGAGAGTCTGAAATCTTTCCGATGGGTTTCTCCTTTTTGCACATAACTAAAACCACTGGGGCTGTATTACAGAGCAATAATGATGTTGCACATAATTAATTGGTTCCATGTCCACGGCAGGACAAAAATTAGCCTATGCTCCTTGGCTGGCCTCTCAGTATTGGAGATGGTCTATAAACATTTCCTCTCCAACTCGTGGTTTCAAGGGTGTGGAATGGAACGAACAGTAAATATTCTTTGGCTCAAGAGAATTCAAGTATGGTCCCATTGGGAGGCTTTACACATGGTTTAGTCCTGGTAAGACCTGCAATTCTTTAGGGATTGGTGTATAGATGGGTATACACTGCAGAGTAAAAGTTACAGTGGATGGCAAGCTAAAGCCCTAACCCATTTTAGGGAGCCACTGTTGGGATGTTTTGTTAACTGTTTATATTGAGCTGTTTTGCAACTTTTCATACAAACTTCAATAAACACAACTTTGTGTGTGTGAATATATATCTATATATATATATATATAAAATATATAAAAAGAATAGGGAAAACTCCCAATGGATACCTAGAAGCATGCTCGGATGATACTTTTCATGGCCTGGGAAGGCCTTGTAGAACCATAGATGTTGACAGAGTATGCAAAAGGAACTTCTTGAGAGATTCAGATATCAACCCCTTCTTTTCTTACAATTTACTTCTTGGTTTGGAGACACAGACAAATCCTTATTTAGTCACTGAGCGAGATGTGGATATGCAAAAACACCCAGAAATATGAAATACAGTGAAGGAAATAAGTATTTGATCCCCTGCTGATTTTAAATGTTTGCCCACTCACAAAGAAATGATCAGTCTAAAAATCAAATGGTAGGTGTATTGTAACACTGAGAGCCAGAATAGCAACAAAAAATTCAAAAGAAATACATGTCTAACAAATTATGCATGTTCATGGACGGAAGTAAGTATTTGATCCCCTTCACAAAACATGACTTGGTACTTGGTGGCAAATACCTTGTTGGCAATCACAGAGGTCAGACTTTTCCTGTAGTTGGCCACCAAGTTTTCACACATCTCAGGAGGGATTTTTGCCCACTCCTCTTGGCAGATCCTCTCCAAGTCATTTAGGTTTGGTGGCTGACGTTTGGCAACTCAAACTTTCAGCTTCCTCTTCTTGAGCCACTCCTTTGTTGCCTTGGCCGTTGTGTTTTTGGTCATTGTCATGCTGGAACACCCATCCACGACCCATCAACAATGCCCTATTGAGGGAAGAAGGTTCTAACCCAAGACTTTACGGTAAATTGCCCTGTCCATCGTCCCTTCAATGCAGTGCAGTTGTCCTGTCTCCTTAACACTTCCAAACCAGAATGTTTCCACCACCATGTTTGACAGTTGGGATGGCGTTCTTGGGGTCATAGGCAGCATTCCTCCTCCCCCAAACACGGCGAGTTGAGTTGATGCCAAAGAGCTTGAGTTTGGTCTCATCTGACCACAACACTTTCAACCAGTCCTCCTCTGCATCATTCAGATGTTAAGTGGCAAACTTCAGATGGGCCTGGACATGTCCTGTCTTGAGCAGGGACTCAAAACCTTCAACTACACATCTCAAATGATCCCCGCTTGCCTTCCATTAACTGTACAAAAAGTTGTTAGTACCTCATCTCCTAAATGCAGGTAATAGTCTATAGAAGAATGCCAGTGTGCATTCACTGAAAAATTGGTTTATTAACCGCTTCCCAACTGCTACAGGGCAGGACAGGTGAGAAAAATCATGTATATATGTGATGTTGTATTTCCAGGTGGGGGCGCGCGCCCTACCTGCACTGCCATTTGCGGCAGCTGCTGTCAATCACCGGGCCCCTGCTGGTAATTACCTGCCGGAGTCCAATGATTACCGAGCATCTTCCTGTCAGCTTGGGCACACTGCTCGGGATGGCTGTGTACATTAATTTGGGTGCAGTGTTGCATGACTGCACAATTGTCAGTTAAAGTAACGCAGCGCCGTAACGCAAAAAATTACCTGGTCAGGAAGGGGGGTAAATACTCAGGAGGGTAAGTGGTTAAGTAAGTGAGATCATGGAGAATGAGCAAAGGACTTGAAGGCTGAGGGATCAATAGTATACATTCTCTAGCATATCTGGGTGATTAGGAAATACTTCACTTCTCTGGATAAATAGACTGGGGTCCCACTGTTAAGAGCTCCTTACACATCTTGGCCATGAGTAAAGACCAACAGCATTATTCTTGGTGTTTGTGATACTTACTTTAGTTTTTTTTTAAGTTTATGAAAGAGAGATAAGAATATTGGCATGCAAAAATACATGGGGCGGAGACATTTGGACTGGATTCTCATGCTTAATTTTGGAATCTCGGATGCTCAAGTTTATGGATTATGGCTGTGGTAACATTGGCTGTCATTGTGTTGTGTACCAACGGTTCTGCGTTATAAATTGTACCATGTATGTACCTTACCACTGGCTGGTGTCTTAAATACATTCTTCATCTTCCCTGTCATTTCAGAAAAAAAATTATGTTCTAAAAGAGAGAAAAAAAAAAAAAAAAAGGAAAAACACAAATGAATAAGGCTGTCGGTGAAGTATAATGTACAAGTTTTACTGCAAAACTGAAAAATTTTGAAAGCTTAAATCCAAGAATGACTTCTTACCCACCAAGGCATTAGAATGACAAAATTCCATCCTCACAACACATTTATTTCTGTAAGTAGGCCCTTAGCACGAGCATAGTGTTACACAATTGTCATACACAATCACATCCAAAAGATTTCTAAAATTGTAAACATTCTCATATGTTGAAATATTAAACGTTTTGCTAAAATGCTCAAGTGTGGAGCGTAACTGAAAATCTTTAAAACTGTGTGGTGAAAAAAAAAAAAAAAAATCTACTAGTACAGAAATGGGGTTTAATAAAATACTAAGTAGACAAAATGGCTAAGAACATTCTTTAAAAGGAAAAACAAGAAACATAACAGGTGAATTTCTTGCCAAGCAAAATAAGCTTGCTCAAAACCTACATAAAGAAATGTCACGGGTAAATACATCTTTGTTGACAAAGTAGGAGGTAGCATGGATGCACCAGTTAGTGAGAAATGCAACTGAAATAGAGTGTATTTTCTTACAACAAATAAATTCCAGTACTATTTACACTTTTTTTTTCAGAAATAGGTTAAACAATCCACCCTCCACTTTTTTAGTACAAAAGCCTTGTGTAATAATAATAATAATAATAAAAAAAATTCAACACAGGTATCTTCTGTACAGAATAGCACTGATTGCCCTAGTCAAATGAACAGTCTTGGAACTCTGCAGTATAATGGTAATACCTAATGCCCTATACAAACCAATAAAGTTTTAGGAATTGTCTTTAGAAAATATATTGTATAAACACAATTAGATTTTTTTTTTTTTTTTTATAATTTAAAGCAGATGGTTTTCCATGGTTGAAGGATATTTAGTATTTGATACCAGATTTAAACTATTCAAAAGGCTTATATTCATGGGTGTTTAGCTTAGCACATTATGCAGGAAGAAAAGTGTAGACTGTTAGATCTGTGATAGTTCAGCTCTCAAGGTTGCGGCACATCAGTATCTCTTTGTCCTTTGTACTATAAACAATCGTAGAAAAGGAAAAAAAAAATCCTAAATATACATCCATGGTAACTGCATTGTCTTGTATAATTGGTTTTATGTTGCAGCTTCAGCCATTAATAAAGGGACATTTGCTTCAGTGATGGAAGGGGATTTCTTTAGTAGCGGTTCCACTTCAACCATTCCAGCTCCAGTCCGTGGAAGGTTTGCATTGACAATGTGACGTTGTAAATGTTTTATCCAATCTTCTTGTACAGACAGAGGTCCACGAAAGACTAGTCCACAGAACCTGTTAAAAGACCATGCCATTTAATGATATGTTTTAAATATAAATGCTTCAAAACCAAGTTATACACACTGCAATTACAATTCAGACAAAATATAACCAATAAAAATTGTGCAAAATTGAAGATAAGGATTAAAAGTATGCAAAAACGTTCTTTCCTAGTTTTCGGTATAGCAAGCAAGTGTTAAATCAACTGGTATTGTTTTTCTCCACTGTCAAAATCTACTCTCTACATCAGGACAAAAAACTGGAACTGGAGTTTTAAAATGTTATCGTTGTGGCAGGAACAAAGGTAGAGGGAAAATCTTCCAATAAGGAAACCAAATTTAGTGACAACTGTCCATGGTTGATTTACCCTCATCAATTTCCCCTCACTTCCTATATGTATATAAAAACGTTTAGCGCAATAAATGCCTCCTAATAAATGTGCAGCTAGCATGTAATGTGTTCCAAATATAACAAAGTAAATAGTGAAAAATGCAGCGCAACAAGAGAATAAATACAATGGTGCTATTGTGTCAACTGCAACCTCCTAGATGCGTATTGATCAATAGTAACCATAAATAACACTCCTCCGTGCTTGTGAATACTTAATAATCAATATATGTTGATGATCATATATTTCAATGGATACATGTAGACCCACACACAATCTTTAACATCCACAGTGCTTTGTGATATAAATACAACATAAAATCGTGCAACTTAATAGAATGTCAAATCGTTGTGAACTGTCCCTTTAAATCGGCAGAAACTTCGCGTAGACCAGTGTTTGTCACACTACTGTATACAAGTGTATGGTGCTCCTGTATCACCCCTTAGTGCTCTTCCACTTCCAACACATACTGCGGATTTAAAGAGACAGTACACAATTGACATTATATTAAGTTGCACGATTTATGTTGCATTTATATCACAAAGCACTGTGGATGTTACAGATTGTGTGTGGGTCTACATGTATCCATTGAAATATATCATCAGCAGCATATATTGATTATTAAATATTCACAAGCATGGAGGAGTGTCATTTACTGTCACTATTGATCAATACACATCTAGAAGGTTGCAGTTGACACCATTGTATTTTATTGTTGCACTGCATTTTTCACTATTTATTTCCCCTCAATTCCTGTTGTGCCTCTATAAGTGGAAGTGAAAAATATTCCAAGGTGCAAGTAACCTTCAATGTGCTTAATCACAATCTCTGGAACAACGTTGAAGGATATAAATCCTTTCCTTTTTATGCATTTAGAATTCCCAAATTGATACAGAAGCCAAGTTTAAAAGAATAAGTGTGGACTACATTAAAAAAAAAAACACCCATATGTACTTACCTATATGGCCGCAGCATTGGTCTGATGTTGCAGCTGTCCCCCACAACTCTAACACCAAGAACTGAGTAATCACATGACCACTTATTACTCAGTTTTTTTGATCAGCTCTGACCAGAGAGCAGTGACTATCAAGTCATCGCTCCCTGCTCTGCCCCTCCAGTTCTCAGTGGATCGCCAGGTTAGAGAAGGGGAGGGCGTGGCTCGCACAGGTTGTCAGTGGCACACTGGGAGGCCAAGTCAGCTGCAGGTCATGTATCTGGATGAATTCTTACATTATTTCTGGGACCCTTCTAGAGACTGTGGAGGCTCTGTGACCTCAGCCGACAATTAAATGTATCCTATCGGCCAATTCTGGGTCACAGGAGAACTCATGTGAGTGCACGGACATGACCCAAAAGAGAAGTATGGCCACTTCTTTTAATAGACTTATGTAGTCGACAACCTCATTAGGCCTTAAAAGGCCACAAAAAGCAGCTTAGCAATGTTGGACTAATTTTTAAGGGTACAGCACAGGAAGGCTAAAATTGGATGCCCAATTGAAGGGACAACCCAGAGCCACCAAAATCATTGGGATCCCTCTTGACTTGATCCTGCTCTAAAGAAGAACAACAGCTTCAGCAGTGGAAACATAAATCTAACTGTACCACGGCTTTATCAGGCAACCATTGCAGCTGCCCACTGATCCTGAATCCTTGCTACAAACCAATAAACTTTTCAACTGAATTGAGATGTTGGAAGATACACATCCAGAAACCCCAAGCTAGCCAAAGAAGATGAAAGACCTTAGGGTGAAGGTACCCTGCCTGCCAGTTGTCGACAACCAGAATAAAGACCAGAGAGAGAGCTGGAACACGTCTCTTTTCCCAACAAACGCTTGACAGTTCCTGGGTGGCAGCAAACTTTTTGGCATCATCCTGATGGTTGACGTAAGCATCTTGTTTAGAAGACCTGTCAAATGACTGGTCCAGTGTAGAAGAGATAACATGGTTTGCCCTGCATTCCAACATACTATTTGGCAATGGCGACTCCTCTAGTGTCCTTGAATCAAGGAGATATCACAGCACTCCTCCCCAGCAAAAAAATACTGGTATGTGTTGTCACCACTGTCCAACAATTTCCCATATAGTAGCATGGAGCATCTCTGCCACACCAATGAGACTCTTGCCTTCCAAGTACATCTCCTTCTCCAGGAACAATGTCCCAATTGGAAAGATCTCCCGTTTAAGGATCTGTGTATGGTGTTATGCAAAGGAAACTGCTTTAAAAGTAATCCACTATCAGTCCCAGGAACCACATGCAGATGAAACATGACACCCATTTGGGAGTGCGTAGAACATGACAGAAAGGAATGCTTCACTGCCAGAAAAAAATACCTTGGAACTGTAAGTCTAGCATCCAGAAATAAGCATAGATATCCCAGATGGAAGAAACCAATTGGGATTTCTTCAGCTATAGGATCCAGCTATAATCCTGAAGAGTGCTCAAAGTTATGGATAGAGTGGTCTCCAACTCAGAGTGCTACTCTACCCAAAGAAGCAGATTTGTTCAGGGAGCCTACTATGCAAATTCCACATAGCTGTAGTAGGGCCAGCACCTTGGTTTAACACTGGGGGGTTGAGGCCAGGGTGAATGGGGGAGCCACAAACTGGTAGTGTCCTCTGTAACTAAACAAAACAGAGATGGTGAATACCTCAAAAGGAGGTAGGCATCTTTGATATTGAAAGGCGCAAGGAGATCTCCCTAATGTAAGAAAGCTACAACATAAGAGACTGATTACACCTTGAACTTGCGCACCAACACATACAAGTTGGGAGACTTGACATTGGAAATGGGGCAAATCCTGTCCTCCTTAGAACTGTGAAAAGACCAGAGCAAAACCCCCTAAGAGTTATGAAGGGGATTGAGGCTGAAACAGTTGAGGTAACAGAAAATTAAGTGCAAATAAGTGAGCAGGAAACTGAAATTCTTATTTTGTAACCTACCAGAACTTGAACTCATCTGAAACCTGAGACAGCCAAGGACCCAGAACACTACCCTCCCCACCTTGAAAAGAGCTGGTAGCGGAAAACCTTCATACAGTGGAAGCCTTCTCGGTGAACATGGACGACTGTTGCTGCCAGGGACGCGTGGACTTCAAGGACTACACCTAAGGGGGACTTAGGTGACTTGTTGCCTTTACCAGATGAAGCATATGAACAATAAATGCACTTGTGAACCAAGATTAAAAGACCGATATACAATATGGTTTTTTGGTCCGAGGAAGAAAAGTACTATTGAATCCGATGATGTTCTCAGCTAACACAGCCTAGCACTTGAGCCACAAGTCTGTGGATAACCATCGCTGACCCTGAAAGCTTGCAGACCCAGGGTCTAGCACCTAAAGAAGTATTGCAAAGATACTGAATGCCCCCCCACCCCACACAAATGATCTGCAAGTCTCATACAGGCAAAAGGAGATATCGTTGGCCACGGCAGCATGAAGTTTGGCTCATTCAGTCACTACCTGAGTAACTAAAACAAGGACAAAAACTGTGCACAGCAAAGCACCAGTGACTGAATACATGGTTCATGAATGCCACTTAAGTCTTCAAAGGACAGAAAGCCCTGGACCGGAATAAAAGTGGCATTACTAAAACAGAAGTAAACACCGTTTGCTCACTTGTACCTACAGGTAAGCTTATGATAAAGCTTACCTGTGGGTACAAGAAATATCTCCTAAACTTCCACTGTTTAGGAGATATTCACTACTTCTGCTGCCGGTGACGTCACCGATGCATGCACACTAAGCTTTGAAGGGACGGCATGCAGTCCCTTCAGAGCACTGTGCCATGGTCATGCGCCTGTGTGCATGCACAGAAGTGACGTCATCGCGGCTCAAATCCCGAAGCCCACAAATCCGTAAGGAAGGCCAGAGGAAGATGGAATCTGTCAGTGGTGACAAATTTGATTGAACCCTTGCAGTTCTATTCTTGTTTTTGCTCTTAGATGTGGACTTACAAGTCAATAAGTCTTTGGCCTTCCCAGCCCTCTGACATAGATAACTGTATAAACTGCAATATAAACAAAACCTATTTGTTCCTTTGACATAATTTCAAGGGCAGCACAGTGGCTAAATGGTTAGCACTTCCGCCTGGCAGTACTAGGGTCTTTGGTTCAAATTCCAACCACGGCACCACAGTGTTTGCATTTTCTCCCTGTGCCGGCATGGGTTTCCTCCGGGGACTCCGGTTTCCTCACACACTCCAAAGACATGCTGGTAGGTGAACTGGCTCCTGTCTAAATGTAAGTTAGGGACCTTAGACTGTATGCCCCTTGAGGGTTAGGGACTGATGTGAATGTACAAAAATATATGTAAAGCGCTGCGTAAATTGATGTTGCTATAGAAGTGCTTGTAATAAATAAAATAAATAAATACATTTCTGATTTCTCCTTCTAATATGTGGTAGACCATTTTAAATGTTTTTAGTTGGCTCTACGTTGAAGGTAAAATTATGTTAGAAATAAAAAATGTTTCATATTTTCTGGGATTATACTGGAATTTATGTTTTTATTGTTTACAAAGATAGTGTTTACTATGTGTATATGAGCATAAAACAATTGTAGGTTCAGCGATCATCCCTCCTAACCTTTACACAGCAGTGTGAATTTTAAGTGAACCACATGAGTAAAGCATCAGTTGAATGGTGCAGCAAATGGAGTGATCACTATGGCTGTGTGCTGACATCTAAAAAATTTTTTTTTTCTATTTTATTTTGTATTGGAATTTGGTTCTTTGTATTTTCGGCCCAATGAGCTTTTCTACTGAAACCCATTAAGACATTTTGTATTATAAACAAGATTCACAACAATTATTTGTTTTTTCTTTGAATATCTAATAATTTAGGAACACTAAGAGCTGATGGTGTGGTGAAGATTGAAGTTCAGGTTGACACCATTGTCGTTCAGCAGTTCATGTCAGGTTTACATTAGGTTCAGGTCAGGATTAGCTCAGGATTTAATCCTGTTCATACATACGCAGTTTAGAAATGGTTCCCATATAAGTCTATAGCCTGTAATCCGCACCTGAACCTGAAGGCACTGCTTAGAAATCGTACATGACTCTTTTTCAAACTGCACTTAATGCGCACCGCCAGTGCAACGGACATACGTGAACAGGCACCATAGGAAGTAATGTTATTTCACATATCGTAGGGATTGGATGAGTTGTGGCCTTGCTGGTACCCTTGTGCATATATTTTGGGCCTGTCCAAACCTTTCATTGGTATGGCGCAAAATCTCTGAAATGGCCTCTGCTGTGGCAGATGCCCCATTGCATTTGTCTATGCAGATTTGCCTACTGGGAGCCCATATCTCGGGAATACGGACTGAGGCTATGAGGCCGATTCACACCATCTGTGTCTCAGCCCTATGCGCCATTGCCCTTCATTGGAAGTCGCCCATGTTACCATTGGCCTCAGTTCTATGAAGAGTCGATGTGGTGATGCTCATGGAACATATTCACTATACGTTACTAGACAGGATGCACTTATTTGACAGAATATGGGATGTTTGGAAAACTCAGACATTTAATGTCGGACCAATTAATATTTATGATTTAATTGATAGCGTTTCTCTGTTGGTAGCCTTATTGCTCTGCCTACCTTGCTCATGTACTTAACTTTTAAGCTTTACATGATTGTACCTTATTGGAATGAATATTATAGATGTGCCTTTTTTCTGTTGTATATTATACTTTATGTTGTTATGCTGTTTTTGCAGCCTATTCCTTAATAAAAACGTTTGTAAACAAAAAAAAACCCAAAAACATAGAAGTGAATATGTTCCATAGGAAACCATGTTAAATGGACTGTAGTGTGTCTCTGCAAAAAGCATTAAAAAACGCACTGGTGTAAACGGAGCAGTGAAGTATGTGCTTCTGCATACTTTTGCTAAGTCAATAGTTAAGAAGGAAAGCCGGATAGAAAGGGTAGTTCAAATATTTCTAATCGACCTATGAATATTGTACATGTCCGTAAAATGTACCTGCATCTCAGAACATAAACTTCATCTGCACTGTGTGGTAAAGGTAACACTTTCTTCTTGCTTCCAGATCGTGATCTTGACTTCTTTTGCTTGCAGTCCAAAACTAGTACACAAAACATAACATTTAGAATGGGGACAGATCTCCACAACATCAACACATCTTTGAAAAATGAAAATACAGTTTTATATGTAATCGGGATAAATCCTTTGGTCACCTAATGTTGTACAATTTGAAGCATTTTACATAGCAGTTTACAATCAGACCATCACTGACCCACCACAAAAACGGTCATGGTGAAGAATGTTACAGGCAGCATAACGTTCTCCGCGGCTTCTCCAGACCCTTTCACGTCTGTCACATGTGCTTAGGGTGAACCTGCTCTCATCTGTGAAAAGCACAGGGCTCCAGTGGTGGACCTGCCAATTCTGGTGTTCAATGGCAAATGCCAATCGAGCTGTATGGTGCTGGGCAGTGAGCACAGAGCCCACTAGAGGATGTCAGGCCCTCAGGCCACCCTCATGAAGTCTGTTTCTGATTGTTTGGCCAGAGACATTCACACCAGTGGCCTGCTGGAGGTCATTTTGTAGGGCTCTGGCAGTGCTCATCTTGTTCCTCCTTGCACAAAGGAGCAGATACCTGTAGCAGTACCTGTAAGCAGGTGAGTTAAGGACCTTCTAAGGCCCTGTCCAGCTCTCCTAGAGTAACGGCCTGTCTCCTGGAATTTCCTCCATGCTCTTCAGACTGCTTGGAGACACAGCAAACCTTCTGGTAATGGCACGTATTGATGTGCCATCCTGGAGGAGTTGGACTGCCAGTGCAACCTCTGTAGGGTCCAGTATCGCCTCATGCTACCAGTAGTGACACTGACCCTAGCCAAATGCAAAACCAGTGAAAAACAATTAGAAAAAATGAGTAGTGAAAAAAAATGTCAGTAGCCTCCACTTGTAAAACCATCCCTGTTTTAGGGGTCGTCTCATTGTTGCCCAACTAGTGCATCTGTTGTTAATTTCATCAACACCAAAGCAGCTGAAACTGATTAACAACCCCCTCTGCTACTTAACTGATCTGATCAATATCCCAGGAGTTTAATTGACTTGATGTTATACTCGGATTAAAAAGTGTTCCTTTAATTTTTTTGAGCAGTGTATTTCTAGAAAAAGCAACAAAAGGAAAATACAATGAACATTGCAGTAAGCAGAATTACAAGAGTTCCCATGAAAACTAAATGTGAGTGCTTGTAGCGGTGGTATTAGTTTAAGATCTGCATGGAATTTATCCATATCTGTTTATCTTGTCCCAACTGAATATAATACCCATTTTAATGCTATCAGTTTTGTTTGTTAAATTTTTGGCCTTTAATCAGCATTCAAAGATACCTTAAAAAAAGGATATGTTTGCCAATTACTCAATGAAAGATTAAAAGTAGTCTGATAATTTACCTTATCAAGCTTTGCCATAACTCCTGGAGAGTTACTCAGTCATTGGCCTTAATATGGCACTGCCTCCAGAACTAAGGTTCTAAAAGGAATACCCACTAGTAAAAGAATGGCAGGGCTGCCATTCGCAGTCCCTGCTTGCTTTTGAGAGGTACTTGCTTGTGTCTAGCAGACATGAAAGAAACTCTATAAAATTAGCATCATCAGGAACTGAAAATGCAAGAAGACCCAAAAAAGTAATGTATACTGGGGGTACGGGGGAGTTGGGAGTCTGGATTAGACCACTGAGCCTGCATGCGCCCCATAAGAGAAAGATTGTTTGTTCCAAGGCTACAGTTGCCCCTTTTCAGTCAACAAGGTAAAGCACAACAACTGAAAATGTGTAAAATAAAGGTACTAATTTAACTAGTACTGCAATTAAAGTAGAACTTAAGGAATAATCTTTTTTTACAAACACTGGTCTAGCTTGGCTTGAATTAAGCATTCATATCTGAAGGGCTGCGTAAGAGGCAGAAAATCACTGTGCTAGTCTACACTACATACAGTAATAGCCACCTTCCAGGTGCTGCTCTAGCTGCTTTCCCTCTGCAGACTAACCGCCGCCCTTGAGAACACGCCTTCTATTTTTTTTTTCAATAAATAAAAGGCACTTTCTGCTTGGAAAAGGTGTAAAGGAGGGGCAGATGACATTACAATCTCCAGATTGTTTATTTACAGAACAAATTCACCGAAAAAAATAAAAATATAAACAGCAGTTTTTTAGTGGCAGTGGTGCAGAGCAAGTGACTCCCTGTGGTTAGTGTGCATAAAGGAAAGCTGCACCCGGAAGATCACGACTACTGCGGTATGTATCGTGGACTACTACAGTGAATTTTTAGCAAGCCCAATGATCCTCCACATATCAGATATAGATATTTCAAATTAATTTGGACCAATGTAAATGTGCAAAAAAGATCATTCCCGGAGTGCAGATAGGATTCTGTGATATTCCATGAAAAAAAAGTGATACAAATGTCCTTTTGGTTGTCATTGGAAGTGTCCCCAATGGAAGATTTCCCTTCAATTTGTGTTCAAGTGGAAACTCAAATTGTGAATTTTCCCACACTTCCAGACCAGGTGACAATGCTTATCAGGGCAAAAAAAGAATTTGAACCACTTAGCAATAAAATGGGCAGGGGTTTAAAGGAAAAAGGTAAATGATGGCTTTAAAAACACTTTTAAGGCATCATGCACACAAGGCATCTGCTTAGCCCCTTTGAACGCCTCTTCTTAAGGCAGAAAATAAAAATTAAATTATGTGTGCTTTTACCACAGATTTTAATGCACGTGCTCTATTTTTTTCCGCACCAATGAACCAACAGTACAAACAAACAGCAACTGCCCCAACCGACACCTGGCCTTTGCAGAAAGGAGCACATGGAAGGGCCCCAAGAAAAATCCCAAGAATTCCCCACTCAACTTACCAACCAGCCTGCAACAAATTGAATTGTTCTGTCTAACAGTTCATGTTAAAAAACTGGGTTTTGTTAGCAAATACAAGCATAAGCTGCAGAGACAACTTCACAGCACTCCAGTATTATCTGCAGTCCTATCTATACATTTTGAGAGCTTCCATAGGAGGAGTACATATAAAATAATGGACAGATTGAGAGCAGGTAAGCCTGGAGGGAGCCCACCCTTCCTTAATTCGTACTTAACTTGTACAATATGTTGGGCAGGACCGGTCTTGTTCTGGGAGGACGTAATATGACATCCTCCAATTGATGACAGAGTGGCGATCGGTGGTGATCTGTGTCCCTCAGACACAGCACATCACTGATCAGAGTAAAGATCCAATGACAATGGCTCTTAACCGCTTCCATACTGGGCACTTTTACCCTCTTCCTGCCCAGGCCATTTTTCAGGTTTTAGCACTCTCACACTTTGAATGACAATTGCGCGGTCATACAACATCGTACCCAAACTAAAATGTTATCATTTTCTTCACACAACTAGAGCTTTCTTTTGGTGGTATTTAATCATCACCAGGGTTTTTATTTTTTGCTTAACAAAAAAAGACCGAAAATTTTGAAAAAATAAAACTTTTTCTTTGTTTCTGTTATAAAAGTTTGCAAATAAATATTTGTTCTTGATAAATTTAGGCCAAAATGTATTCTGCTACATGTCTTTGGTGAAAATAACCCAAATTAGGATGTATAATTTAGTCTGTAGGAAAGTTATAGAGTTCACAAACTATGGGATATATCTGAATATTGATCAATCCTGAAGTACTGACATCCAATCTAATTTCTTGAGGTCCAAGAATGTCAGAACAGTACAGATATCCCCCAAATGACCCCTTTTTGCAAAGGAGACAGTCCGACGTATTTTATAAGAGGCATGGCGAGTTTTTTGAAGTTGTAATTTTTTTTGTCATTTTTCAAAAAATGAAAAAAATTATTTTCACTGTTTTTTTTTTTACATACTGTCACCAGTGCAGTACAGCGTCATCATATAACTGGCATGGCGGTGATCAAGGACACTGACTGGTGACAGTATGAAAAGAAAATTATAATTTTTTAAAAACATTTTTTTTTAGTTTTAATTTTTTATTACATTTATTTTTCTTTTTTTTAAGATTTGTTTTTCATATTTCACTATGACCAAAGTAGTATAATGTTACCATAGTAACATTGTACTACTTTGGGGAAGTGATCAGTTTTTTTTTTTTTTTTTTTACACAATTTGCACAGAATTACCTGAATGACATCGATTCATTCAAGGTTTTTTTTTTTGTGCTTAGCTGTGATTTGGCCACGGCTAATCACATGACACAGCTGGGCTGTGATTGGCCCAGCTTGTGCATGTGACCATTCACAGCTAGACACACTAGTATACAATGGATAGCATGACAGGAAGCCATTCATTGTATACAACTGTCATGTGACCTGCTGTGATTGGTCACAGCAGGTCACATGGTACCGGCAACGGGGCCGGTACTCAGATCGGTCATCGGCCGTGTCCGAGGTACACGGCCGCTGGCAGATCGCGCAGCTGTGCGGCTCTGTGGGCATGCAAACTGCGCATGCCTGAAGGGACGCCATAAAACCCCTCGTCCACCCAGAGGGACGAGGGGTTTTGCAGGCTGCCATCTGGCTATAGGCCGGCGGGAACCTGTTAAATATGTATTCACCTGTGTCCAATCACAGCTGATCACAAGTAAACAAAGGTCATTTATCGGCATTTCCTTTCCTCGGCACGGTCACTGTCTGAGGGAAGGAAAGTCAGTAACTGGTTTTCCTGTGACAAGGGACATTTACAATGATAAGTGCAGCCTCATCAGCACACATCAGTGAAGAAGAAAAATTACTTGTTGCAAAATTGATATATATATATATATATATATATATATATATATATAACAAATGAAGAAAAAGTTTTGTAGTTTTTTTTTTTCAAAATTTTTGGTCTTTTTTCAACAGGGTAATTAATTGCTTTTGTGCGCTCTAAAATTAACTTGTATTACATGTATTTTTTACTGAAATCTTGTGATAATATGCGATATAAAAACTTCTATTCTCTAGGGTTTCGGCTTGTAATGTTGTGTAATCTTCAAGCCTAAAATAAATTTTTAAACTTGTGCAAAAAAACAGCTCTGGCAGCGAATGCTGAGAAGCTGCCAATCGGTGCTCATCACACTGCAAGGTCTCTCTCTCCTTCCTGCTAGTGTCCAGGTGCAATGCTGGAGAGAGGCAGAGTGGGGAGGAGTTAAACAGCGCAATGTTAAAAATATTAAATGTTTAAGTTGCCATAAACCCGCTTTTGATTTTAAAAGCCCCTGACATTCCTAAAAGCACCTCAGATTTAAATACGGTTTTGGTTAATTTTTATCTGGACAAGCAGATTGTCATGAGGGACAAGTAGATTGGGACCCCAATTTAGTCCCCTGGACAAGTAGGTTTTTTCAAAAACTTCCACACCCCTGTGCATAATATTTAGTATAGTTGTTTCTCCTAGCCTACTGGAAAATTTGATTTTTTTATGCAGCAATGCAGTCTTCGAGTTGACAGGTTCTTAGTTGCAAATTACTACTTATGCCAGAAAACTTTTCTTTTCAAGACATACCTGTCCCAGTCAAAAGACCAGCACTCTTCTTTCGGGAATATGCACGCATATGGTTTGACAGGCTAACTGCACTTGTAAAGGTTGTATTACAGTTCACGCAAGTCTTAAGCTTTGCCGACATACCTACAAATGAAAAATTATACAAAACAAAAAAATATGTAAACACAAATTTATCCCAAAAACATCTATAACATGATAAAATATGCAAAATAAAAATGATGCAAATACAAAATCTATCCAGAAAACCTTTGCAATAGGATATCCTTACATTTGAGCATATACACAGTACAACTGAATGCCAAAATAGACTTCAAAATTAAATTGCAGTGCATGTCTATAGATGTGGTGGCGCCATAAGCTTTCTTTCTTTAAAGCCAAGTACATTTTCTGCAGATAGAGAAAATATCTGTTCATCTTGTCAGAAATCTCGGACGCTTGTAACCTCCTGTGGACTTAAAACTGAACTCAGAGCACAAGAATTTAAATATAATCCATATTTCATATATTCCATAGCCACAAATTATAGGAGTCCAGTTTGTGTTCACCAAATGCATTTGAAAACAGATAATTGGCTGGCCATAGACGGGCCATTTATCGGCCGAATTGTCGGCCGATAAACAAAAACAAAAAAAAAAACTGTCGTTGCTGCCATGGATGCTGCCACCAATGCTTATGAAAAACGGTCGTTTTTCATGGATTTTCCAGCATGAACGATAAAAAGAAACAAGAAGATCCGCAAAAAATGTCCAACAGCATTGCCCCACTAACGGTGTGAATATCGGCCGATTTTTCGTTCGGACGAAAATTCGGCCGATAAACAACCCGTCTATGGCCTGCATTGCCTTGTAAAATAGCAGTGGCATTATAAATGTGCTGCACATAACCTGCGCAGAGAGCAGAGCTATAGGAGGAGCCAGGAGACCCCAGTCACTACAAGCTATCTGTAGAAAACTACAGGAGAGGGCAGAGACCAGACCGGTCACCCTACACAAGAAGAGAGTGAGCAGCATTGACCAGTATTTATTACAGGATGCTCCTTCACAGAGGCAAAGTTTCACACCGTATTAATGTACTAAGTACACCAAGATAAAAGTAAAAATACACATGCCTCATGTATTTAGACAATATTTGCTTATCCAGGAATTCAGCTTTAACTGGAATTTCAAATAATGGAATTACAAAGCTACTTTTAAAGCCCAACTCCAGGATAAATCAAAATAACTGTTATATACAGCTATCTTTAGGTGATTTGGCACTGGCAAAAAAAAATAGGCTCGTAGGGACTCCCCCTGTACATCCCCTCCCACTTCCAGCTAGATTTGTAGCAAGCAAAAAGGAGATCATAACAGCAAAAAGGAGAGACCTGTGCCCTGTAAAAAAAAAAATCCTATATTCCCTATCTTAAAAGTACAGGATAAAGGTTTTTTTTTTTTTTAAAGGGTTAGTTCATCTTTACCAAAAAAGATTCCCAAGTATATAAGGGATGTCTGCAGATGAAAACAAGCTGTGCAGCTTTCACCAAAAATAATGCCCCTACTATAGGAGTAGGTTATTTACCTACCACAAAGCCCAACTGGAAAAACTCCCAGGATCTTGCTAGGTAAGGTCAGACAAGAGAACATGAAATATAGGTCTCTCTTCTATAAAACAATTTCCACCATATTTCCAGTGGATAATTTCAAACATATGAGTGAAGTAGGCTTCAAAGCCCTCCAATCTGTTATACTGAGCTGCAGCACAATGACTGAGCCTCCTCTGTGATATACCCTCCACCACCCAAAGCACCAAAAGCTCTTACCGCATAGATGGACTTCAGGATTTAGGAGATAAAAACCACACTTATATATAAAATTATCCCCATACAGGATTAGTGAAAGCACCTGTCCCAATTCTACTCATAGCATACATTTCCTCCAAGTTAGGAGTGTTGCTATGGGGGCTAAACATGTCCCAAGCATGGCACATTTATGATCAAGTGGAAGGAGGTCTCTTATATTATGATATGTCTATACTCCAACTGGTACTTGTGAAAAGGTTTATTCAGGACATCCTCCTCATATTGGGTGGGGACGTACAGTATTTACAGTGCTTTATGCAAGAACTTAATGACCATGAATATGGTAATACGTTATCAAGAGTATAGTAAACAAATTATCTTTTTTTGGACCTTTTGATTATAGTTAAGTAAAGAGTCATTACAACTAAAATCTTTTTTTTACAAAGTGATATAAAATGGGTACATTCCTGTCATCCATCTGTTTCTGGTGCAAGAATATCACAGACAGAGCTGCAACTAATGATTATTGTCATAATCAATTAGTTGGCCGATTATTGTTTCTATTAATCAGATAAAAACCTCAATATGCCATTTTTTGTTTAATTTACATAATAACAAACAAAATAATAACAAACGCAGTGTTACACACAAATTGCAGAATAAAAAAAAGTAAAATTTACATAAAGATTACACAGAAAAAAAAACTAATTTTTCTTGAATATCTATATGCACTGGTAAATATAAGTAACCAGCTATATGGATAGGGAACAAAATATCTAATCCACTCCCAGAACAACAGAAGAGGTACACAGTACAGAGGTGGTACATATCATGAGACTCAGAAATCAACATTTTTATTTAAAAATAAAACTTTAAAAAAGGCTTAAAAACACAGTTTTGCAGAATTTCAGACATGGCTGTAATATAATAGTATGCATGACAGAGTCCGCTAATACAAACTACCTGCGTCTGCTGTCTCCAAGTAGCAGCAGCATGCTTTTTGTATCACCAGTCATGATGGTGTTAAACAAAAAAAATAGCCCTATTACAGTACAAAAACATATCTGCAGCTCAGCTGCAGATAATCATTGCTATAAGGGGTTAATTTATAAAGTACTATAAGGGGTTAATTTATAATGTGAAACAGTGAAGGTATAGCACTCAATACTATACTTTGCAGCTGGCTATAGGGGCACTCTGAAGGCAGGAGGAACCGGACGCGCCCTGGGGGAGCCGAGAAGAGGAGAATCTGAGCTGCTCTGTGCAAAAGCATTACACAGAACAGGTAAATATGACAAGTTTGCAGTTAAAAAAAATATCCAACACTTACAATCACTTTAAGGGCTCTGTGAAGAGAAGATCAGCATGTGAACCCAGAGAAACTGGAGGCTGATAGACTGGAGGTAATATGAGGCATTACAATTAAATATAAATTATACGTTTATCAGTATTGTGCATTATATTTAAAATGATTTTATCCATGCAAAAAAATTCAGCCTTTAGTACTACTATATTACACTGCTCAAAAAAATTAAAAGGAACATTTTTTTTAATCAGAGTATAGCATCAAGTCAATTAAACTCCTGGTATATTTACCTGGTCAGTTAAGTAACAGAGGGGGTTGTTAATCAGGTTCAGCTGCTTTGGTGTTAATGAAATTAACAACCAGTGCACTAGATGGACAACAATGAGAAGACCCCCAAAACAGGAATGGTTTTACAGGTGGAGGCTGCTGACATTTTCTTCCCTACTCATTTTCTGTTTTTTCCTTAGTTTTGCATTTGGTTAGGGTCAGTGTCACTACTGGTAGCATGAGGCAATACCTGGACACTACAGAGGTTGCACAGGTAGTTCAACTCCTCCAGGATGGCACATCAATACGTGCCATTGCCAGAAGGTTTGATGCGTCTCCCAGCACAGACTTAAGATCATGGAGGAGACAGGCAGTGACTCTAGGAGAGCTGGACAGGGCTGTAGAAGGTCCTTAACTCATCAGCAGGACCGGAATCTGCTCCTTTGTGCAAGGAGGAACAGGATGAGCACTGACAGAGGCCTACAAAATGACCTCCAGCAGGCCATTGGTGTGAATGTCTCTAACCAATCAGAAACAGACTTCATGAGTGTGGCCTGAGGACCCGATGTCCTCTAGTGGGACCTGTGCTCACTGCCTGATACCACAGAGCTCAATTGGCATTTGCCATTGAACACCAGAATTGGCAGGTACGCCACTGGCACCCTGTGCTTTTCACAGATGAGAGCAGGTTCACCCTAAGCACACATGAAAGGGTCGGTGGAGAACGTTTTGCTGCCTGTAACATCTTTCAGCATGACCGTTTTGGTGGTGGGTCAGTGATGGTCTGGGGAGGCATATCCATGGAGGGACGCATAGACTTCTACAGGCTAGACAATGGGACCCTGACTGCCATTAGGTATCGGAATGAAATCCTTGGACCTATTCTCAGACCCTGCACTGGTGCAGTGGGTAGTGGGTTCCTCCTGGTGCATGACAATGCCCGGCCTCATGTGGCGGGAGTATGCAGGCAGTTCCTGGAGGATGAAGGAATTGATACCACTGAATGGCCACCATGCTCGCCTGACCTAAATCCAATAGAACACCTCTGGGATATCATGTTTCAGTCCATCCAACGCCACTAGGTTGCACCTCAGACTGTCCAGGAGCTCAGTGATGCCCCGGTCCAGATCTGAGAGGAAATACCCCAGGACACCATCCATCATCTCATTAGGAGCATGCCCCAACATTGTCAGGCATGCATACAAGCACGTGGGGGCCATACAAACTACTGAGTATCATTTTGAGTTGCTGCAACGAAATTTCAGCAAAATGGACTAGCCTGCTGCATAATTTTTTCACTTTTTTGGGGTGTCTTTGAATTCAAATTCTCTGTAGGTTGATAATTTTTATTTCCATCAAACGATGGCGGAGCCATACGTTCCTAACACATTACCCAATCCATATCAGTATAGATATCCAGCATGATATTTTTCCCCATTGAGATCTGATGTGTTTTCAAAGTGTTCCTTTAATTTTTTTTGAGCAGTGTATAAAATATTTAAACACCCCCTCTCCACACTTCATATAGCATCAGGTCTGACTCCCAGTTACAATAACCCATATATCCTACCTGGGAGTATATTTATTCTTAGGCTCCACACACAGTTGCAAAAAAAAAAAAAAAAAAAAAAAAAAAACCCGCTAGATTAAAAAAAAAGTAGCATTTAGCAGTTTTTGTTTTGTTTTTTTTTTTTATACGGAAAAAAGCTCCCAAACTCTACAAAATTTTTTTCTGCTCCTAAACGCTTGAATAATGCTACAAGCCTAAAATAG